CTTGCTCCCAGGTTCCTTGACCAATGCACAGCTCCCCCTGGAGGTGATCCAAGGAAGTGATTATGTTGTGGTCACCCTCAGCACCTGTGTCTCACTTTCTCAACTTTCAAGGGGACGTAGTCACACTGGAGGGTGTTCAGATGGGTCAGGAGTTGGGGGGAGGAGCAATCACTGCATTTGGGGAAGTGTTGAGGCACAGGGAATACCCAGTGTAGACAAGAATCAGGGCAGGCACGAGGGGGTCAGTAAACACTTGAGGGAGTAGGACCACATGATGCGGGAAAGCTAGAGGGACACATGCAGGTTCACCGTGTGGAAGAGCTTCCCAACGTCAGTGTTCTCCAGAGGTGAGAATGAGTGAGTTCTCCGGAGATGTTCAATGTGAGCCTGAGGAACCCCTGGCAGGGAGGTGGCTAAGGAGGATGAGCAGCTCAGTTAGACCAGAGGTCCTAAGCAGGGGGTGATCATCCCCCACCCAGGGGATTCTTCCCACATCTGTGGACATTTTGCTTGTCACAACTGAGGGGTGCTACTTGCATCTAGTGGGTAGAAGCCAGGGATGCTCCAAACACCCAACAAGGCCCAGGCCAGCCCCTCACAACAAAAAGAATTGGCTGGCCCAAAAGCATGCACATTGCTGAGGGCAAGAAGCCCTGGAGTGGACCAACTCTAAGGCTGGAGTCTGGGGTAATCACCCCCTCCGATCTGCCCAGTAACAGGCCATGGAAGGTAATCAGTGAAATGCCAGGAATGTCCAGATTTCAAGAAGGATCGCACAGTAGGATGTTCAAGTAGACAAATCTTCAGAAATATATTTTCACTTTCATACGTCGTGGGATATATTTTGGGACTCTGGCCATCCCTGCTGTAGCCAAAACTATGAGCCTGTTATTCTCCAAAAAGCAAATTTTTATGTTCCCACCACTTTCGCCTACTTCCACATTCAAGTTGGAGAGCGATGTGCACAAATGTAGAGGTGGGGTGGGGTGGGGGTGGAGAACAGCTGAAAACAAGCAAATAGAGGTGTCCACAGTAAGATTTCACCCCAAGGCCTCTAAAGATGACCCCTGATATCTCTTCTAAGTAATTATCTTTAATATACTCCTTATGACTTCAGGGTGGTGAAATTTATCAAACCCCAGAGAAATCCTAGAACTATAAATAAATCCACTCTAACTGGACTCACCACTCTCAGAGCTTGAGAATCAGATGGACTTGAGGTTGACTCTTGGCTCTGCCAAGTACCGTCTGGTCATTGGGCAAGTTATTTAACCCTTCTGAGCCTCAGTCTCCTCACTTGTAAAATGGGACAAATAGTATCTGTGCCACAGGACATCTGTGATGATTACACAAGCAAATGCACCTAGAACCACGCACAGCACCTGATACAGGCACAGCACCAAGACGCAGCTGCTGTTTGTATGATTACCTCCTCGGGAATCTGAATGGCACGTGCCATTGCGTTAGGTACTGAACAAGGACACAATGCCATCTTGGAACTCACAGCCTAAGATAAAAGTTAGCTTGCTCTATTTATAGTTCTCCATTTTTGGTATTTAAAATAAATAAGTAGCTGCCAGTCAGTATATACACCTGACCTCATTTAATCTTCCTAACATCCTAGGGAGGGAGGGATTATCCACTCAATTTATAGATGAAGAATCCGAGAGGCAGATGATTTGGCCCAAGGTCACACAGCAGCTTCTAAGTAGCTGAGGTAGAACTGGAACCCACAGGTGTGCAGGACACCACTGCCCTCTTGTTCCCTATTTCCCTTCCTAGCCTGCTTCCTCAAAGCCTTAGTAGACACCAGAGTACAAACGACTAACCAGAGCAAAAATAACCCCTAAACCTTAAGCAGAGACTCCCAACCAGGACTCCCTTTGGGACAATGATAGAGGCACAGGCTAGTTTCCATATTTCAAATATACATTCACCCCAATGAACTAAAATGCCCTGTCTCTTTGATTTAAGTTGAAATTACATTGACTCTGGTAATACTGTTTATTTCAACCTGGGTAGAAACTCTGACAGACAGTTTATTTGCCTTTGGTGAGTAAAAATGGGAAATCTAAGCAATGTGGCCTGTTTCACAGTAAAAAGCCCATCAAAACCTGAACTCCAGGGAGAAATAATTAAAAATGCCCTTAGTAATGAAATGTCTGGAGTCACTGAGCTACAAGTAAATAGCACAAATCAAGAAATATCAGGCACAAGAGGACATGTGCCTGAGAATCTGGGGAGAAGGACCATTGTCTATTAGACATCTGGGGACAGGCCCTGCCCACACCTTGTTTTCAGAGAACACTGCCCTGCCCAGAGCCCCATGGAGTGGACATTGCCACATCTGTCATCATGTGTTTCTAGCCCCTGACAAGAGTCATTGGACATTCTGGACTTACTTGTCTATAAGCTGCTGGGAAGTCTATAACCTGTGTGACTGGGTCAAAATAATGAGCTGGGGCAATCATGTTTCTCTCTTGGAAATCAGTAATTAGGAAACTGAGAGATAGGGCAGTTTCTGGTAGAGGTGGAATACAGGGGGACATATGAAAAGTTGTCCCATTACAGATGGTGCTTGGTGGATATAGTGGCAGGTAGAAGTTGTGTGGAAATAGAAATGCCATGGGTGGACAAGAGAATCAGTCTACAGAGTGAAGAATGGAGCAGAGGTGGAGAAGAGGAAATGGGGGCTTCTGGGGAGTGGCTCTAGGGGGGATCCGGGTCAATCCTAGCTCCTATGAGACCCAAATGAACCATACAATTCCTATCTTTGAATTTCCTGAAAGTCTTGTGTTTTTACAACAAATCTCACTTTGTTTGAGTTGATTAAAAGGGTCTTTCTTTCCAGCACACAAATGGGCCTGGTTAGTCCAGACCTTCCAAGCCTTTGGGGAAACACTTTTAAAATCGCATCACAGGGCCATTCTCTATGGAAGACAATGTCACAAGTTATAAACTGACACTAATTCCTTACAATTCTATTTCATGCCCTGGGGAGTAGAGAGCCCACTGGGGGCAATCACCATGTAATTTCCTGGAAAATGGCACCTGGGAACAGAGAGAAGAGCACATGGGGGTGTGCCCTGGAAGTCTCCCACAGGGATTCGAAGCCAAAGGTGAATAAACACCATCCTGTTGGCTAGATAATTTTGCTGGATATTACTCTTGGTTTCTGTTTTCCCTCTGCTCTCTGTACTGTGACAGATTGAAGAATTCGTCCCCTTGTTTACCTTCCCTGCATCTATATCCATACCACAGTAACATCAGGAGAATTGTTTCCCCACGCCTTGACTTTGGGCCTGGCCACATGACTCGCTGTGGCCAATGGCCTGAGGGAGAAATGACAACGTGTGGATTCTAAGTCTAGGCATTTAGAGACTTTGGGTGTTGTGTCTCTGCCATGGCCAGGAGAACATATTCCCAGTAGCCCACTGGTCCCAGCAGAGTGAGAGACACATGGGGAAGACTTAGACCAACCCTGGCCCAGAGCCAAGACCAGCAGAGCTGATATGGGGATCAGCAGAGTCACCCCAGTCCACCTGCACACATACGAAAAATAAATGCTCCTGTAAAGTCATGGCTGGTACATAAATTTCTGTAGAAGGAATTAAATGGTAAGATCCATTTAGAAAGATTGGATTAAATGCCCCTAACTGAGGAATGCAATGAAAGGGTATCCTAATTAGGTTACAGTGATAAGAGGGTACATACACACTGATAAGAGGTACAGAGCTGACATGGTAGTCAGGAAGAGATTGCTAAGGGATGTAGATCTTTGAGGCAGAAAAGTTGGGCTTGAGAGCTGGTCTTTCCTCCCCATAAAGAGATTTTCTTGCTTACCAGCCTTGTAGAATTTAGTTTTACTTTGTTCAATAAATTTGTAAGTTTCCCCACACACCTTAGGCACAAGCAGCCGGTTGTGGCAGTTTACCAGCTTCCATCTCGCTGCACTGGCTCCTCGCACAGGGGTGCGGCCAGGGCCAGGCACCTGACTGACTCTCCGCGGCTACGTCTCCCGGTGGCTCTTGCCGTTACCCGTGACCACGTGGCTGCATTTTTACCAACGAAATATGAGCAGAAGAGATAAAAACTACATCCCCTTTGTGTCCATTGCATTGAGAAGCTCTGGAGTCGAGCCAGTGACCATTCTTCACATCTGAGAACAGGAGCGGAGGAAACTTGAGCAACCCTGGAAAGGTGTGTGAGCAACAGTTTAGGGACAGTTTGAGCTTTCTGGTAGTTGCAGCTTAGGAAAATCGGCATAAAAACTTCATCTATCATATGGAAACAATATCCATGTGAAAGGGGCCAGGTAGACAAAAAGAAACTATTGTTAGCTCTGTTCATACAGTGTATTTCTCCTGCTCTGTCCATCTCTCCATACAAATGGGCTGGGGCATTAGTGAAAACGCAGGTGATGGTGCTGAGAGGGGGACAGGGGGACCTGTAAGGGTCTGGAGGCCTGCGGACCGGGACCGCGAAGAGGGAGGTGGTCCATGGAGCGGACAAGAGCTGGAGAATCAGGCATCCCTTGCTATCCCCGTTCCAACCGCTCCAGCACAGCACAGCCTAAGGCACCCCCCTTTGTGCCCACCCCTCTCTACCCCAGCCCCTGCCTGCTGCGGTCAGGCCGCGGGGTCACCGCTCCAGGCGTGCAGGGTCAGTAGGCAGCTAACGTGGGGGGCGCCCGGTGAGGAGGGGAGGAAGGAGCTCGCTAAACTGTACTGGGGCAAAAGCGTCGAGGACTGGAAGAAGTAATGCAAGGGGGGAATGCGGACCGGACTGCAAGGGAAAGGAAGGGGGGACCGTGTAACCTCAGCCTTTTCATCAGTCGGCGGGAAGATAGGTGATTTTCAGAGACGGCTGCTCCAGCGCCCCGGCTCGCTATAGGGAGACGTCAGAGCGCTCGGGGCCGCGGTGGAGCAGCCCCCGGCCCCCCCGCCCGGGCTGCCGTATAAAGTCGCGGCCTCGAGGAGGCTGCCGCAGTGGCGCGGGCGGCGGCCGAGCTCCTCGGAGGGCCCGATCCTCCCGTCGCTCCTGCGCGCGCGGAGAGCGCACCCTCCGCCCGGCCTCGCCGCGCGTTCCAAGGGCTCCCAGCCCGCAGCATGCGCGCCCGGGAGCTCCCGCTGGTCCTGCTAGCGCTGGTCCTCTGCCAGGCGTCCCCGGGGCCTGCCGCCCCGGTGCCGGCGGGCGGAGGGACCGTGCTGGACAAGATGTACCCACGCGGCAACCACTGGGCGGTGGGTGAGTGTCCTGCGCGCTCTGGTCTTCGGCGGGACCGGCCGGCCGCCGGGGACCCGTCTCCCCATCTCAGCGTTTCTGGGCCTGTCCGAGCTCAGGCTTGGGGGCTGGGCTTGCTCCGACCTCTCTACCCAAACCCCAAGCCGCTGTCCCAAAACTCCACCCCACCCTTCGTGGGGAAGCCGTCGGTTTCCTAGTAGCCTCGGGCTGGTTCCTTGGTCCTTTCCCGCGCCTTCCCTTTTCCCCAGGGCGCCCGGGCCAGCGCGCAGCTCTCCAAAAAGCCCCACCTTCCCTCCGCACCTGCCCGACACCCTTTATCCCCCTTATCTCAACACCGTCTGGCCCGGTTCTCTCCTAGAACAATTTCGGAAGGCCGGGTGGGCGAGCGCGTCTCGGAGCCCTGGTCCGCCGGGCGGCCTGGACCCCCAGCACGGGGCAAAGCCACAGGTGCGGAGTCGGGCCGCCGCGCGCCCGCCCAGGGTTTCAAATCTGTTCAGCGAGTAGTGCCCGAATCCCGCCTGCCTGGGGCTCTCCCGAATCTCTTCAACCCTTCTCCTTCCATTGCAGCGATTTCCTTTCCCTGCCCTTAGTGCCCAGCCCCCCGTTTTCCATCCCGCAGGCCCGGCGCTCCGGGAACCGCGCCCGCTCTCCACGCTGATTCCGGCCTCTGCCGGCTGAGCCCCCGCTTCTCTCCGCCTCCCTAGACGTGCGACCTCGCCTCTCCCCAGCTCCTTTCCCCGTCCCCCTGCTCGCAGTCCTGCTCTCGGGGCGCGCGCTTGGAAGGTCGCAGGTCCCGGCGCCGGAACCCCAGGGCGAGCCCGGCGGCGCGGCATCCACAGCTTTCCCGCAACGAGTTACAGGTAGCGGCCGCGCAAACCAGGACTCTGCGCGGCGCCAAGCGTAGTTTCTGGCAAATGCAAAGCGTTCAACTTTTTCAGAAACCTCCCCGTATTAGCCAAGTGCGACAATCACAACAGTTCCCCGGAAGCCGGTCGATCCCTAAAAAGATTAAGGTGCGACGGTGGCGGTGTGTGCGTGTCTCACTATTTCCTTCGTCGTCCAGCTACGAGTGGGGGAGGGTGTGTTGGAAAGATTCTTGACTAATTCAAAGAGCCGATTCAGAGATTATCCGCGTTATGTCAGGACGGATTCATGGATGAGGGTGAGGCAGGATCTGCCATGTCCCCAGTTCCTCTGTGTTGTGTATGCCTGTCAGAGACATTCAGAACTCGGGGTTGAAAGTGATTCTTTTAGTTGTGACTAAAAAACTAAAAGAATCATTTGCCAAGTCTTGGTAGCCCAAAAGATGGAAGTATTTGTGATCTCTGAGGGGCACCGGGGCAGCCCAGGAGCCTGGTTTGGAGAGGAGAGGTTGGGATGGACATACATGAAAACCCCTGCCCTTCAAGAGAGAAGGTTATTAAGAAGCTACTGAAGAATCCAAACCTAGAATCAATCCTTAAAAAGGGCTTTTGGGAGCTTAGATCAAGGCGCCATTGTCCTGTCCAGCCCCCAGCCAGTGGGGTTTAGAAGACAGAATGAAGCTTCCAAATTTCCAACCTTTTTTTGCTCATCTGTTTTTTTGAACTAAAAAGGATTATTATTATTATTATTAGGTAGTCCTTACAGGCCAAAAGCAGGACAGGAGAAGCAGTTGGGAAGCTGGAATCATGTTATTTCTGATACAAGCCCACCCTGATTACTCTAGTTCTGGAGCACATCTGTCCCTAGATATTGAGGGTGTCCAGCACTTGATCATTCTTCGTGGTGGCACATGAGTGTTCCTAACCAGAAAGTATACCGACCATTAGCAACCCCAAATTTTCTTATTTTCCTATTGATCTCAAAGGCACCTTTTTTCCTTTTTCTCTCTTGGTTGGCTGTGCAGAGTTGATGAAGAACAAAGGGCAGAGAGAGGTGAAGTAGAAAATCACTTTTGGGTCTAAAATGACGCTTGGGCTGAGGAAAAGTTTGGTTTGGGTAGACATGCCCTCTGTTGGAAGGTGAGCATTCACAAGCATTAATGACATTGTTAGATTTTCAGTTTACTATCCTAAGCAAATGCCTGTCCTCAATCACTGAAGACCTGCAGTTTAGTTTTAATTATATCAGACTAAAGGTGTATATTGCTGTCCAGGAGGAAGCTGTCAGCACAGATTTGCAGATTCATGAATTGCCTCTTCCAGCTGAGAGAAGCATGGTGTGGCAATGGGAAACAAGTCAACAGACTGAAAACAAATTATTTTCTGGCTTGATGTTCATAAAAATGTTTTGTTTACCCAATGAACATATAGGTCAACAGTGTTCTGGTGATTATCTGCTGTGATCCCAGGAAATGCTCCTAGAGGTAGCTCTAACTTCGATGTGAAGGGTGTCCTGGAAGGTTGAATTCTGAAACACCAGTGTTCAGCTACAGAATGGCTTTTACACAGTAGTCCTGCCCTAGAAACTGTGAAATAATAAAGTATCATATCTAGAAACTAGCTCTTAGAAGTATTCAACACTTTATGTCTTAATGGATATTTCCCAAAGTAGGGTAATCTTCAAGTTTTGAGTTCAAGAAAATTAATTTGTATTTCAAACCTGCTGTTTTATTAGTATTTTTAAGTGATTAAAAGGACAAAAGCTTTTTTTTCCCCCCTCTGGACAAGGTTTTGTTTTTTTCAAGGGCCTGTCTTTTGTCTATGCTGAGATTTCCATTATTATGATATGGACACATAACAAATGATGATGGGTGAAGAGGTGGAAGTGGGCATATCGTCCATGTTGCTATGGAGATGATTATTTGCTTAACAGTAGCCAACTCAAAAGTGAAATAGGACCCAGGGAACGTGTGCTTCCCTGGGATGTTACAGATAATGAGCTTTCAATTACCAGTCTGTGGATCTAGGGGTAGGAATCTGAACAACACCCACCCACCAAATAAGGAAACTCTGAAATACAGCATATTGTCACAGGGATTTATGTTAAATCAATCACAGGAAGGAGGGCTGCTTTATCCTCCCATTTTAGAAAAGTCCACAAAATTATTCAGGCATGACGAAAATGAAGTTCTTATTGTAAGAACATCTCCATTGCCCTTCTGCTTCGTTGGCAATAACGCCTGTCTCATTTCTAGCATCCCGACGAGATGATAGGCAATGCGAGAGAGCAAGAGTGCCCGCGGTCATTACCGGAGCATCAGGTTCTAATCCTGCTCTCCCATTATCATGATTCAATTTCCTCCATGTCAATAAAGCCAAGTGCTTGGCTGCTTCCTGGGAAGTTGTGCAGCACATTCACTGTTCTGGCTAAATGCAAGGTTATTTAATGGACATGTGGACACCAAGTTGGTCAAGCAAATAAGTGAGGAGCCCATCATTCGGGATCCTGATCCTTCAGTTGGGACAGTGTCCTCAGTAGGAGCCTGACGTCGTGTAAAGTGTCATGTCATGAGAAACTGGGCCAATGCTCATACTGCAATACAATAAAACCTCATTTTAAGGCTCTCTAGTGCTCACAGAATTAATTGGCCTGACTCACATAATGAGTCATGATTTACTGATATTTGATCCCTATTCTTCTTTCTAACATTAAAAAGCCTTTTGTAGACCTTATCCTTAATGCTAGACCCTAGATGATTTCTAACTGTCTGTATTCATAGGAAGTTCAAAGCCACTTCAAAGCAGTATAACAAAGTAGAGTCTGGACTGTGGGCTGATTTTAATTGTAGAATCTTTGCTTGCATGTGGGTGACCTTTGGCAAGACTCATTTTCATCACACTTGTTATGATGTGGATCAAATGAAATAATCCTCTTTTAAACATCCTGTAAACATATGCCAGCAGTAAAGGCATGGTGAGGGCTGCTCTGTTGGTGGATAGAGCTGCTGAGAAGGGGGTTCTTTCTATTTTAAGTGACCAAAGTCTGTCAAACATTATTCCCATGATGGTTGCCTTAAATACTTCTAATGCCAGACCATGTTGGAACTACAAAGAGCTCTTTCCTTGTGAGCTTTAAATAAAAAACACCATCGTTTTATTAGTATTGGAAATCTGAAGGTACTATAAAACCCAATTATAGATAATTGGGTAACATCAGCTAAAGAAAGTAAATAAGATCATGTGAGTATCATTATTAGCAATGGCTGAAGAGTTAAGAATGCAGACCTTGAATTTCACACCCACTTCTGGCACTATGGCTATTCCCACTTGCATACATGGATTTCCATACTTTTTAGTGGCTTGGCCTCCTGTATAGCAATTTTTATTTATTTATATGGCAGATGCACATCCCTAGAGCCATTGATAGACTTTCACTGACCATTTTCGATATTCAGCAGAAAATTCTGCATTTATGTGGCTAAGAAATGTTGGTCAGAACGTGTTTTCAACTTGTTTTTCATTATGTGCTTAGCAAACTGTAATTTCTAGATGCCGTTTCTTCAATTCAGTCTTGGCTAAAATTCTGAGAAAGTTTAAATGAAAAATTCCTTTGGTACACTTGTATTACAGATAAGAGGAAAGCAACCCCTTTTTAATCACACAAAGAAAAGCATCAAGACTTTTCAGTCGCAATTCAGAACTGACTGGGGAAGACATTTAAACTCCATAATTCAGTTGGTAATAGAATTTGGTGCACCCAGAACTGGTGATAGAATTTTAGACATGGAAGATTCCGTAGGTTTCATCTAGTCCAACCTGTTCATTTTACAGTTGAGAGAACTGAAGCCTGGGGATGCTCAATAACTTGGCAGAGGCCACCCAGCTAGTTGGCAGAGGTGCTGGGACCAGACCCAAGGCTCCTGACTTGCAGTCATGAATTCTGTCCATCTTCACAGCACATTTTGAACAGGGAGCAAATTTGTCAATCCTTTATGAACTCACTCCTAATAATAAAATGCTATTTATTCTGTATTTAGGAGGAAGCAGTGAAGACATAATTGATGTCCTTCTACATTTCATGTTCATTTATTCCCTTGGGTTAAATTTGTGGCATTCCAGTTTTGTTTTTGTTTTTACAGGCCACTTAATGGGGAAAAAGAGCTCAGGAGAGTCCCCATATGCTTATGAAGGAGGGAGCTGGAAGCAGCAGCTGCAGGGATATGTTTGGAGGGAAGAAGCTGCAAGGAATTTGCTAAGCCTCTTAGAAGCAAAGGGGGCTAGAAGCCAGCAGTCACCTCAAAGCGAGCCCCTGGGCATCCACCAGTCTACTTGGAATTCTGAGGACAGCAGCAACTTTAAAGATGTAGGTGATGTAACATGCATGGGGAAGCAGGGTTGGAGGTGTTGGGAGGAGGGGAAGTTTGAGGAGGGAAGGGTGAAGTTGTTAATGATACAACCACTACACTAGGCTAACACCCATATATGCTAAGAAAATGAGTAGACACTTTCCATGCTCTTTTTTCAACATTAATAAATTATTTTTCCTCTTAGCACATCAGAAGGGTATTGGTTCCAAACTCCAATTTAAGAGTTTTATTAATAACGGAATTTCTTAGCAATTGTGCATTGATGGGATTTTTCTTTTTAATCTGCTAGGCCTGACCAGGATATTCTGATAGTGAAGCCGTAGATTATTTGAGTAAATTCCTGTGGTTCTACAGAAAAGTTTATTTTTGATGAACTCTAGTGGAAAGGCCTAGTCATAGATGTTTCTAGAAGAGAGCACTCTTGATTGCTACCTTTTATGCAGAATAGTATTTCTTCATAGTTGTTCCAAGATTTCCTAGTTCTGGTCTCATCCTGATATTTCAAAACTTAGTGAACATATCTAAGGTCAACTGATTCATTTGTATATGGTCTTGCAGGGGATAGGAAAACATAATTGTATCACACTAGCATTGTTTAGATGCAAAAACAGCAAATGAGCTAAAGGAGAGAATTAAATTTATAGGAAGAAAGCAAGCGAACTGAAAGTGAAATGATTCTCATTAACTTTTGAGAAGTTTCCATGAAGTTTATGATACAAGGCAAAGATAATAATTGCAAGAGCACTAATTATAATGAAACCTAGTTTTATTATTTACTATTATCCAAGCCCTGGGCAAAGCAGTGCACCTCTATTTTCTCAGTTAATGCTCACAGCAGTCTTAGGAGAAAGAGTCAGGAAGATTCTCTTGTTCCGTCCATGTTAGATGTGAAGAAACTGAGGCTAGTCACACAATTTTTCACTGGTGAAACAAGGGGAAGAGCCCAGGCTGGCCTTAGACAGGCTGCTACCATGTGGGGCCTCTTCTGGGCAACAGTCCTCACTGACCTTAACTATGAAGGATGCGGGTTGGAGCCACAGCCTTGCTTCTCGCCCTTTCTGAGAACCAGTAACATTGCATTTCACTCACAGAGCTTGGGGAGCAGGCTACTTCACTCTTTCTTGGTGGTGAACTCTTTGACTGGCAGCCCTTTACAGAGGCTCAGAGCTGGTTTCGCCAAACCTCAACCAGCTCTGGAGAGACACTTGATGTTTCACTGCCCTGTGGTCCACTCTGGGCTTCTCTATGCTAAACACCAACTAAAAGTTCATTTGCTGCATGAAAGGCCTAGAGAAAAAGGCCCTAGAAGCCTTTATTAAAAAAGAACATCTGGATCAAATCAACCAATATGGAAATAAATACCAACTTTTACAAAGCTCTGAGTGATTCTCTGTCCCCACTTGTATTAGAGGTGTCAGCAGTGTTACATGCTCCCTTCTTTGCTGGGGATTCCTGATTGACTCCTCAGCCCCTGGCGGGGGCCTTTCCTTAATCAAGTGCTTTGCTGAACTTCCTGTGGGTGGATGTCCAACAGTGGTTCCTTTTCCTTTTTCTGAAGAGTAACACCATCAGGGCCACAAAACCCTCTAAAATAATTTTGCAAACAGTGAAATAGACTCCTCCTCAGAGCTCATTCCGATTTGAACCAAACAGCAATATCCATGTTGAGTTGCTTCATTCCCTCTGACCTGGATCCACCTTTGAAATTTTTGAAAAATTCAGCTCCTTCCTCAAGAATGGAGAATGTCTTGCCTTATTCAGAAGAATATTCTGTAAGTTCAAAGGAAGTTATAAAAAAACAGCTTGACAAAGGGTCTCTGAGCGGCAGTGGTATAAGTGTCACAGAGAGCACCTGCTTCAAGGGGACAGCATTTATCAGCATGACCTGGAAAAAAAGCCATCTTTTGATAATTAGGTCTTGCTTTTCTACTTTTTGTATGCTTTTTACTTCTTTCTCTAAGTTTAGAAAGCCCATTCCATTTCATTGCACCTCAAGTCAAATAATAAGCTACTGCACACATGGCTACCACTCTTTTGGATATATTTCCTAGTAATATGAAAAAAAATGCAATAGTTAGTTTAGTCTTTGCATAGACCAACACAGTATCACCCCTCGTGCTTTGGAAATTCTGCCTCAGCAAAAGCATGTTGATAGGAAAATTGAAAACATCTTACAATGACTGAATTCACAAAGAAGGAGTACCAAGAGCATAGTTTCTATTAGAAATCCATGTACCTCTCAGTGTTAGAAAGAAGTTTAATAACTTGGCTGCGCATTGCCAGAATTAGCAGCAGGAATCTTCAGAGGCTGAAGGAGTTTTCTTAAAATTAAAAACTATCCACATATGCTCTCCTCTTCCATTTTAGTAATAAAACATCAAGTCTTGCTGCCAAATCTCCCAGAGCTGTAGTTAGAAACTCAGAGCATCTTCCTATGTTTTGATGACAAAGATATTTCCTTCATTTGGAGAAGATGTGTGTAAATATGCTATGAATCTAGACTACTATATAGCAAACAAGTGCCAGAATTGTATTAGCAATTACGGCCAATCATTTCAATCTTTTAACTGTACCCTTTGTCACAGAAAATTAACGGAACTTTTACCTTATGGCGTCTATAACACGAAACTGTTCAGGTTGGCTCCATGGCCTCATCTGTAATCCCGGATGTGGCTGTGAATTGTTCTGAAGTTGAAGTCTGCCTTTGGGTTCCTTGTGTAACTGGGACACAGTGTGTTGTCCTTGGCAACCTTAAGTTTTTCCTCTTGTGTGGTGGGTGTGAGGAAATGGAACTGGGGAAAGCACTGCAGGGGGTGTTATGGGAAGGAAGGAAATGTACAAATTTGCCTTTGCTTTTAAGGGACAGCTCCCACTGTCCCATCAAATCAGTACAGAGAATAAAAAGGTTTTTATTTCTTAATATGTGAAATGCAACAAAGGAAACCCCAAATATAAGGAAAGCAACAGACAATCGAGAATAACTTAAAATCCTTTGCTTGCTTTGACAATTTCTACAAAGGAGCAGAGTAATACCACCTCCACCCCCAATACTACTCCTCCCATCCCCACCACTGACTAACCCCCCTGCTGTGTCCAGGTCCTTGATTTTCTTGGGTTACACAATTCTTCTTTTCCTTGTTGCTTTACTCCCATTCCCTTGAGCTAGCTGCTCTGATTCAATATGTTTAGCCCTAGGGGGCTTCCACAGATTCTTTCCCCCATCCTCAGCTGGCTCCTTTTATGACCAGTGGCTCATATTGCAAGCTGGATGGCAGCATCTTCAGGCAGGCCAGTGACCCTCCATAGTGCAGCCTGGATCCTGGAGAAAAGAAAGCAAAGCCAATTAGTCTGTGTGGGAATTGAACCCCAGGCCCTGGCATCATTAGCACCTGGTTGAAACAACTTGGCCCAGAACAGGTACTAACGGGTCTGAGAATATCAGTAATTCCTTTATTAGAAACAAATGGTTGGTCTGGACATTGGGGAACCTGAATTGCCAGACAATCTTGAAAAGTGTAATAAGCCCTGGTCTGGTTGAAAAGTGTTTTTCTCATCTTGGCAGGTAAATAGTACTTTGTGGGAATAAAGATGTATTTTAAAATGGTAGCTACTCATTCTTTCATCAGTCTTAGTTAATTTGAACAGAAGCCACACAAGCAAACAATAAGTTTAGAATTGGCAGAAACCCAAATTAGCTCATCTTCCCAAGTTGCCACACTATTCCCATTTAGTTATGGGTTTATAATGTGCAATTGTGTAATTCATAAATGTCTTGCCTAAGGGTTTCAGCCCTGGGCAAGTTCACTATGAATTTGGTGAGACCAAGAAATGACAACGGACTATTCTTGGGGTAAAAGGGTTTATACCCAGCTTTATTCTCATGGCAAGAGGTGGAGCACTAGAATCACGTCTGCACCCAGCAGTCTGCAGGTCCTTAATCCACCTCCATCTCTGCCTCCACCCAGAGCCATGGGCAGAGCTCTTTATATAGTGACTTGGTCAATAATAGCTCATTGCCTAGGGTTTGGAAACATTAGCCTAGCAGTAGGCCAATTACATCATCAAGTAGCTTAGGGTCAGGTGGGGATCCTGGCCACAGGAACTTCCACTTTCCCCACAATAAACTATCTTTGATTTGTGTACTGAGGCTTTGCCAAAGAGAGCAAGTAAGACTTAACACTCCACGTTCCCTTATAGTCCCCCTACCTAGCTGCTACTTTAGGAACAAATTCCTGAGGATAATACATTTAATCTACAACACCAGTCACAATATGCCTGAGTAGTCATCCTGGGATACAAGTTAAGCTAATATAACAGAAAGACCCAAAAATATAGCCACAGCAAAGAAAAAGAGGAATTAGTTTCTCTCTTGGGGACAGCTGTGCTCAGCATTGCCTGGAGGATTTCTGAAGCCTCAGATCGTGGCACCTCATCTCTAGAGTTTCCAACTTAGTAGGTCTGGGGTAGACCTAGGAATTTGCTTTTCTCACAAGCTCCCAAATGTGCTGGTGGTTTGCTGGGTGTGAGTTTACTTCAGTATTAGGCTTTGGTATCACTAACTATATTTGCTTCACTCTTTTCACTGTTTTTCAAGGACTTCCTGTTCAAGTCCTCAACGTGAAGGAAGGACCCCCCCAGCTGAAGTGACGGTCATGGTGGGGTCCTCTCTCAAAGAAGCAAAGCAAAACCCTTAGGAGACTGTGCGTTCTATGGGCATCAATTCAACTGGATCATCAACAAGATTTCCTTTCTGCAAAATACTTAACTATTCTTGTATCTTTCAACCTTGACTAAATGAATGATTTTCAAGAAGCATCTCGTGGTTTGAACTTGTTTGCTGTGAACCATTGTCCATAAAGAGGCTTCCAATGAATGCTCTTTACATCTAGGCTATTTGTCGATTAGATTACAGTCCCTGACCTGTGACCATTCACAATAAAAGCTTAAATACATTGTTCAAAGGACAGATAGTTCTCTTATTTCAATTCCAAATGAGAGGACAGTGTGGTGGAGATTAACAAATATCTTGATAATGAACCTGTGTGCTCACTGATGACAGCAGGCTGAATTTTAACTCTCCTTCCCGAGGCCATGAATTGCATCTTTGTCCTAACTTTACAGCTTTTTTAGAGGCTGCAACTAGAAGCTCACCTCCCCCTTTATCATTTCCATCAGATGAACTAGGTTGAAGGTAGAGGCTGAGTAGTTCTCACTTAACTATCCCTGTTTTTTTCAGCCCTTGCCATGACCAGGTATTTTGCTGTTGTTATTGATAGCATCCTGTCTTGTCAATGGGTTTCAGCCCCAGGCAAGTTCACTCTTAATTTGGTGAGACTGAATAATGACAATGGAACATTCTTGGGGTGAAGGGTTTAGGCCCAACTTTATTCCCATGGTGGCAGGTCAATCGCTAGAATCCTAAATCTGCATGCAGCAAGCCAGTCCCTGCTTCTGGGCCTCTCTGCCTCCGCAGCCGTTTCAGTCTCTGCCCTCGGAGCTGCCACCGCTCCAGCCTCTTCTCTCCTGCAGCCATGCAGCCCAGAGCACTGGGTGGAGCTCTTTATATAGAATCAGTAACAATGTATTGCTCCCACATGTGTAGTGAGCCAGCTGACCTGAGTCAAGTGAGAATCCTGGCCATAGGAACTTTCATTTTCTCTATATCTCCTCATAAGGGTTTTATAAGCTGAGAGTGAGCATTCTCACTTAATAGATGAGGAAACGAGGTTTAAAGAGGTCACGTGACTAGGCCAAGGTCACATAGAAGAGGAACTGGGATTCAAACATCCAAAGTCACTGGATTTTTGGCACCACCTAACAGCTTCTGCACCACCTCATTTTTTATCTCCCTTTCAGTATATTTAAACCTACCAAGTAGAAGTGTTTCTTCAAAATCCATTGCCAGCCCAGGAGGAGGAGTTCCCAGAACCAGATTTAGTCAGTTCCACAGCAAAAGAAGAAGATGAATTCAAGAGATTCCTTCTGTTTGCAGAGAATGTGACCCGGCGGTTCGTAACACTCACTGGTTCCGTTTTCATCATGGCATTCGCACAGAAACAGATTTTAAAGCTTCTTGCCATATGTTTAGATTTCCTTCGTTTAGGGAAATCACGTCTGAAAGAGTAAAGAGATTGATCTTGCTCTTGTTTTAATTGTCAAAGAACTACATAAGATATGATGCTCTAATTTCTTTTAAAACTGTGTTGATTATTTTTTCAGCCCTTGCCATGACCAGGTATTTTGCTGTTGTTATTGATAGCATCCTGTCTTGTCAATGGGTTTCAGCCCCAGGCAAGTTCACTCTTAATTTGGTGAGACTGAATAATGACAATGGAACATTCTTGGGGTGAAGGGTTTAGGCCCAACTTTATTCCCATGGTGGCAGGTCAATCGCTAGAATCCTAAATCTGCATGCAGCAAGCCAGTCCCTGCTTCTGGGCCTCTCTGCCTCCGCAGCCGTTTCAGTCTCTGCCCTCGGAGCTGCCACCGCTCCAGCCTCTTCTCTCCTGCAGCCATGCAGCCCAGAGCACTGGGTGGAGCTCTTTATATAGAATCAGTAACAATGTATTGCTCCCACATGTGTAGTGAGCCAGCTGACCTGAGTCAAGTGAGAATCCTGGCCATAGGAACTTTCATTTTCTCTATATCTCCTCATAAGGGTTTTATAAGCTGAGAGTGAGCATTCTCACTTAATAGATGAGGAAACGAGGTTTAAAGAGGTCACGTGACTAGGCCAAGGTCACATAGAAGAGGAACTGGGATTCAAACATCCAAAGTCACTGGATTTTTGGCACCACCTAACAGCTTCTGCACCACCTCATTTTTTATCTCACTTTCAGTATATTTAAACCTACCAAGTAGAAGTGTTTCTTCAAAATCCATTGCCAGCCCAGGAGGAGGAGTTCCCAGAACCAGATTTAGTCAGTTCCACAGCAAAAGAAGAAGATGAATTCAAGAGATTCCTTCTGTTTGCAGAGAATGTGACCCGGCGGTTCGTAACACTCACTGGTTCCGTTTTCATCATGGCATTCGCACAGAAACAGATTTTAAAGCTTCTTGCCATATGTTTAGATTTCCTTCGTTTAGGGAAATCACGTCTGAAAGAGTAAAGAGATTGATCTTGCTCTTGTTTTAATTGTCAAAGAACTACATAAGATATGATGCTCTAATTTCTTTTAAAACTGTGTTGATTCACAACTTATATAGAGCCAGACCTGGGGAAATATCTGGTATGTGTGTTCAGTGTCCCACCATCTTCCTCTGCTTGGGACTTTCCTGGGCCTCTTTCCCAAAAACTTGGTCCTGAGCCCTGCCAACTAAAGTCTGTCATGAAACTAATTTGAGATACACTTTTCCCTACAAGGAGATATACTAATTTTAAGAGATACTTTTTCCTACCAGAAGAGCTTTCTTGAACACTTTTTGCAAGTGGAGTCACATACCTGTGTGTGCCTATCAGGTAATTTTTATCTGCAGATAATAGGATCCACCTTGGGTTGTTGAAGTAGAAAAGGAACTTCATGAGAGGATAGCAGGCAAGGAAGACCAGAGAAACGGGCTCAGGGCTGAACTTGCGGGTTCAAATTCACGCCTTTGATCAGGTTGATGAGATGGCTACTGAATGTTTGCTGTCCCTAATGCAAACGCAGTACTGCCTGGCTGGCGCTCTTTCACCGCCTCTGCCACTGCTTGTGCCTGAAGCCTTACTCCCATGAAAGCCACTTGGCCCTTGGCCTGCTTTCAAACTAGCGGTTTGAATGCCAGTGTCTGATGGGTGGAACCTAGATCCTATGTCTGTACTAGCTACAAAGGAAACTGGGGAATGTAGTTTTTAGGGTTCTACTTTGGGGCTATTGGACTAAAATTGTAGGGCCCTATCAAAAAGAAGAGAGGGTGTTCAAGCAATATGGTCAGCCACAGATATAGGTCCTGGCCCCGTTTTCCTCAAACAAGAATTTCCTTTTTGGCTTTCACCCATTTCTTTACTAGACAATAGCTAACACCCAGCCCAGGGTTCTGGGGAAGCGGGACCCTGGTGGTGGTTCTCCACGGCACAGAGGCCAGGTGTGTGTGTGCAGGCAGCGAGAAGAGAAGATGCTTTTAAGAGGTGACAGTGTTTAGATATCTTTGCAGCAAAGCGGGATAATCAGAAGGAAGAATCCAAAAGGGAAGGAAGCAATAATTGCCTTCAAATTTGTTCGTTTAAAAACAGTCTTTTTTTTTTAAGTGCTACAGAGTGGATTGCTCCGGACAATTTGGCAGGCTTTGCTTATGATGAGAGGTTCAGAAATACACTAAGCAGGCATTTCAAGCAGCGCAGTACAATTTCTAGCCCCACAACACCCTCCTTTCAGTTCCTACTGGGGATATTTGATCATCACAGAGCATTTTAACCCAGTTGAGATGTGTAGGGAGTAATCTAAGTAAAATGTGCGATTTACATTCATTTCCTCAGCCACAGGCTGCTCTAATCAGACACTGTGAAATAGCCCTGCAAGGGAAGCCACAGTGAAGAACTATTTCCATTCCCAAAGCAGAAGGACCATGGTCACCACGTGCAGCCCTTAGCTCACCTCTTGGGGCTTTGTGCCTTCCAATTAATCATCTCCTTAATTAGAGCCAGATAACACACAGCAACATCTCCATTTTACCCCTGATTTTCCTTCTACTCGCCTCAGCCCACATATTGTCTATGACATACAACCTAGTTGGCAGAAGCTCTGATCATGGGTGGACTGAGAGAGCCGCTGGGGGAGAATGAGGGTGGTTGGTTCCCCACTCTGTTGCTCTGATCGTGCCCTGCCCCTGCCCCCACGGCGAGCAGCCCTGGCTTCTCCGCCCGGTGGCTTTCCTCCAGCGTGGTCTCCAGAGACCCCAGGGTGGCCTCTCCTCTGTGGGGCAGACTTTACCCTTGCTCCTTGGAGGAGCGGATGCCCACCCTTCCACACTTCTGCAGTGGCCATGCTGTCAGGGCACAAAACACATTCCCAGATAGTTGAAATCCTCAGCCTTTGTCTTTGGTCAGAACTGTGTCTACAAGACCAGTTCTTGCAGCAAAGGTTTCTCAGCTGGGGACGTTGTTCCCACTCGCCTGCACCACCCCCCACCCCAAAGACTGCATTTCTCTTAATAAAGCAAAAAGAGGATGGATGTTGGGTAGGCAGTGTTTGCGGTGTTGGCTGTTACAAGATTGAATCCTGAGAAAGAATCAAACTGGAACTAGTGAATCTTAAGCCTGATGTGACTGGACGAAAACAGGTATCGGTGTGCAATGGAAGGGGCCCTGCCCAAGTTGCTTCTGAATGTTAAGTGCCAGAAAACCATGGCTTATAGACGTGTGGGCTTTCTCCATGGCCTCCCATATACTTCATCTCTGAAAGTAAGGAAGGGCAATAGAGATCATGTTTTGCTGACTGGATGTCGTCTTTAATTTCTAAAAGTAAACACAAAATGTGATGCTTTCCAAATAACTACTTGCACGAGAAAAACTGTTCATGCTGTATATATCACTCCTGTCCTTATGTGTGTACACATGTGTTTATGTGTATGTGTGCAAGGTATACTCCCCATCTTCCAGCCACATCCCTTCAGGAACTGAGAGTCTTGGGGAACAAACTGGACTCTGGCAGAAGGGAACCCATGCCCCGGCTTGTATTCATTTCTTGTTGTTGTCTGGTTGGGTTTTGTCTGTTTATTTTCCAGCTTTATTGAGATGTAAGTGACAAATAAAAACTGCATACTTTAGGCTTGAAATGTGATGCTTTGATATATGTATACATTGTGAAATGTTTGCCACAGCCAAACTAATTGACCCCTCCATCACTTCACATAAATTATCGTTTTTCTTTTTGAGAAGAATTAAGATCTCCTCTCTTGGCAAATTTCAAGCATACAATACAGTGTTATTAATTAGAGTCATCGAACTGTACATTAGCTTTCCAGAACTCATTCATCCTGCGTACCTGACACTTGGTACCATTTGACCGTTTCCCCCTTTCCTTCTCCCCACAGCCAGCCTCTGACAACCACGGTTCTACTCTGCTTCTGTGAATTTGACTTTTTTAGGTTCTACATGTAAATGAGATGGTACAGTATTTGTCTTTCTGTGTCTGATTTATTTCACTTAGCATCATGCCCTCCAGATTCATTCATTCATTATCACAT